TAAAGGTTAAAGGATAGAGGGAGGTTAGGAAGCAGAGAGAAGGGACAGCCCTCCCACCAGAAGGTAGTATGACTTTGAGAAATAAAGAGATGAGGGATCCAAATGAAAGGCTAAACCAAATAAATAAAATTCCATTTCTCTTGAGGGCCTGTGGGCCAGCCACTGAAGTGGCAGTAGGGACAAATGTAGTCCAGCACTAGGAGCTTTGCTTCCTGTGCGTTCCAAGCCTCCCGAGCAAGGCAGCCACTGTGGTTTTTTTCTAAAAGGCCTGTATTTACCATAAATTACCTCACAGTGATAACAGAGTCATCACTATCCTTTTGTGCTCTTCAGAGTACCGGAAAGAAATTGTGCCCTCTTAGTCACATTACTCCATGACATCTAACAGTTGCCACAAGATGACTTAGCACCACTGAAAATAACCCTGGGATGGGGTTACAGCAAGGCACATAGGTGCCAACACCCAAAAACGTGGCATTTGTAAACCCCATAATGGGGTTTATACCTACAACAGAACTGCAAGTCCTGCCATCATCTCAAGTTTGGCAGTGAGCACTGGGTAAGGTCAGGGAGGTGAATATTCCCATAACAGCACAGATCATCCCCAGTTAAACTCCTTTTGTAATCTGAAAGTAAGTAGAACTATTTCATGCCAGTATTGTTGTCTTGGCTTGTAGAATGAAATATGAGGATGTCACAGAAGTACTTCAGAATCCCTGAAAACACTCAAAAGAAATAAGAAAGGAAGAAGTGGTGACTTTTGTTCATGGAGCTGATCAGTCTAATGCTTTACCTTTCAAGTGAACCAAGAACTCTACATGAACTTTATATGAAATGAGTGTTTGATAGCTCAGGAACTTCCAATTCCCCATCATCTTACCAAAGGAAAATGCTAAGAACTTCAAGCAGGCTATCCCCTGGAGCCTGCTCTTTGGATCACACAGATCTCATCCCTGTGCAGACTGCAGCAAATGAAGATATAACAGAGGATTCAGCCTTTCAATGCTAAAGTGCAAAGACTTAGGAGTACCCTGATAACACACAGCAGGATATAGAGCTCTGTGCAGAGGCAAACAAAATCTCATTCCCAGGAAGCCAAAACCCTTGCTGTATAGTGGGATACAGCTATGTATCTAAGGCTGGCTTTCAGTGAAAGCAGCTTCTTCCTCCTTTACCTCCTGGAGAAGTCTCTGGTCAGGAGTGTATCAGAGGGTGGCTAACTGAGGACCCAGTGGCATAAAACTGTGAAGTATCCCCATGAAAAAGGAGGGGAGATGAGCAAACTTAGCATTCACCAGCCTTTCACACAGTAAACTCCGGAAGTTTGTTGTGCCTGTCGCAGTCCCTTCCTTTCTTCCCTCTCCCCAAAGCGAATTTAATTTAAAGCGAGGCTTTTTTTTCCAACCACAGCACGTCCCCAAGAATTTCCTTTCCTCAAAATCACCAGAATCCAAAGGGTGTAATTCAAGTCAAAAGGGGCATTTTTCCTTTCCTGATGCCAATAAATGCTGCTTCCCAGGGTTACTCTTCTGCCTGCTGCTTTGGCCAGCTACTTTTACCCTGGATTTCACATCCCACCCATCCAACCACAGCGTGCAGCCATCGGGCTACATGTACACCACTAATGCACCCACCAATCTGGCACTCCAGTGCCCCACTTCCCACCATCTCAATCACAGAATCCCAGTCTGGTTTAGGTTGGAAGGGACCTTAAAGCTCATCCAGTTCCAACCCCCTCCCATAGGCAGGGACACCTTCCACTAGACCAGGTTGCACTAGACCTTGAACCTGGACTTGAACACTGCCAGGGATGGGGCAGCCACAGCTTCTCTGGGCACCCTGTGCCAGCGCCTCACCTCCCTCACCTCCAATTGCAGCAAGAGACCTGTGGTTATGTTTCCATGCATATTACAGTCTCCAGAAGAGGTCTCAGTGACTGACACACTGCCCTGCTTGCTGCCAGCCTTGCACAGGGCAAGGCACCACAGCTATTCAGCATTTCCAAGGCATATGCCTGCAGTTCAGCACCAAGCCAGAGCAGCTGCTTCAGCTGTGTATGTGCTCATCCCCTAGAAATTAATAAGTTATTGCTACAAGTTAAAATACTAAGTTAATGATGTGCATGACTGAGAGTTACAGGGCTGGAAAAGGAGTCCTAAATAAATCAATACAGTTATTAGTCCCTTGTCATCTCTGATTAATTATCAGCTTAATATGCTTCATCATTTTCACTGCTAATGGAAATAGCTGCAGTGCTACCATGGGAAGCAGGGTAAGACATACAAAAAGCCTATGAGGCTGTGCTGAAGTCCTGGCTCCAGACAGAACTATGTCTTCTAGAGGAAAAAGAGAAAACATTTCATTTTCTGGGCTGGTAGTCTGATGACACTGAAGTCGGTGACAAAAACTCATGGTTTTCAAATGGGTCAGATGTTCCTTCACGGAATTTTTGATTGTTGAAATGCAGTGGTTAAAGACTTGACTCCTACTCCCGGGCTTAGTTCTGAGCCCAGTGCCTCTGAAGTGACAGGATATCACCATGGTCCTGTCAGAAGCCGACACACCAGTACCTTTCCCCAGAGCCCACCCCAATTGACCTTCATTAGGTGCTTCATTACCCCAGAACATGGAGAAGAAACTGGCATCAAGTAAGCTGGCAGGCACTGACTGTGTTGTCTGGGTCCTCAGGGCGCAGATGTAGCTAAGGACAAGTGGCATCCTTTTGGCCTTTGGTGGCATCATTTCATGCCACCAAAGGCCAAAAATAAGGTACTGATGTCACTTTTCTTCTTGCTAACAAAAAGTAAAATAGTACTTTGGATGCAGACAATGGATAGGATTTACTCAGAGCTAAGTGGAGTTTGGGCTCTGCTTGTTCTCCTGTCTCTTATTATCCTGTCAATGACCCCATCTTTTCCTAACTGTTTTTAACAAGCAAGTTTCCGTCACTGGAGGAGGCTTATTGAGTATAAGGACCATGTAAAAACCTCAAGAACAGGTCTCCATATATCTCTCCAATAGATGCAAAAATTTGCCAAACAATTGGTAAGACTTGTACCACAATACATGAATCCACTATGGAATTAGGCAGGACTTTCTTCTGACAAACAGCTTTTACAAGCAAGCTCTTTTGGGTTGGGGATCAACAGAGATACAAACACATGACTCCAAGAAGAAAAGTGCTCCTTGAACTCACTGATGAGGCTAGTGTGTAGTTCACACTGCTAATGGGTGATCTGGTACATTAAATGACAATGTAAAACACTATGTGACGTTTCTCAAAGTTAAAGAGCCACTCAAACAATTTCTCAGGGCTCTCTCCCTCACACTGTGATGATAAATTGCCACCTGCTCCATGACTAATGATAGAGCTTTGTTGGTACCATTTTATCATTTAGTCCTCTTTTACCAACAGCTCTATTATAGAATCTCAGACTGGTTTGTGTTGGAAAGGACCTTAAAGCTCATCCAGTTCCAACCCCCTGCCATGGGCAGGGACACCTTCCACTAGACCAGGCTGCTCCAAGCCCCTTCCAACCTGGCCCTGAGCACTGCCAGGGATGGGGCAGTCAACCTGTGCCAGCGCTTCACCACCCTCACAGGGAAGAACTTCTGCCTAAGATCTCATCTCAACCTCTCCTCTGTCAGGTTAAAGCCATTCCCCCTTGTCCTGTCCCTACAGGCCCTTGCCAAAACCCCCTTTCAAGATTCCTTGTTAACATTCTTTGAGAACACTTCAGCTTCCCATGCTTTTCTTCTTCCCATTGCAGTTTCGAGAATTTCAAGCTCCTTTATTTTGATAAAGAAGTTAATGGGGGACAGCCAGTGGCCCACGGAAACCCTATACCCCAGTATCCGGATATCAAGCCCAGCTGGTTTGTGTCAGATACTAAAGAAACAGTTTTCTTTCCAAGCTGAGCACTTGGGCTAGCCTACAGTTTGATGAGCACACAGCAGTTCCTTTAGAAATGGGCTGATCTCCAGTGAAATATTTGGCCATTTAATGAGTAGGCTCCAGGATAACAGTTTTCGTGGGAATCCAAAAAGGAGTAAAGACTAGGGCTCCCCATGCTATTCTTAGCTGCAAACAGTTAGATTTGGAATTTTGATTGGAAAGCATGGAATTTAGAAATGGTGCCATTCTAAATTTACTGCATTTGTATACAGTTCAGCTGGATAATTAAATGTGTTCCAGTATGTTCCTGGTTAGCATCTCAGTTTGAGTTTTATTGTCTCTAAACTGGTAGAAAAATAGTCAGTAAATAGTGCTTTGTAGAATTTGTGTTCTAGTGGGTGTGTGCACAAAAGTTTTACACACACAATGTGGATGCAGATTTTATATAAACACCTCTGTGGGTGCACATGCATGAACACAGACACGGAACTGTGAAATATTTCCAGAGGAAAGCCAAGGAAATTCCCATCCCCTACCATTTAAACGATCGCTCTTTGGCTCTAAACATTCTCTAAATTCCCAGCCAAGGAATGTATTTTCCCCTTCCAATATATATAATTTATTTTGCTGCACACATTAGTTAATGATACAGAGCTACATGATTTTACAGACCCAGCGCATTTTCTAAGACCTTTTTTCTTTGCTGCTTTTTGGTGGCCCAGTGCAAATTCACAGCAGTCATCAACTCAATGATTTGTCGTATCTACTTTGTACTCCAGCAGTTTTTCATAATTAGATTGGCTTCCCAGGGTTAGACAGGCTTTTAATTATTGTATTAATGGAGGTAAAAGGGACTTTACACTGGTTCATGGTTTGGGGCAGGGTGGAGGGAGGGGGATTCATTACGGGCCACAGCTATTTTATTTCATTGTTCCTTTGCAGAGATTATTCCTGAATTTTTAAATATAGTCGATAAAACGCTAATAATAAAACCGTTATCGGGGCACTGGGCGCGGGGGCCCGAGGCGAGCGACCGCCCCCAGAGCCGGGAAAAATTTCACCGCACACCACCCCATTCCCGTACCCCACATTCCCGCAGACTTACGCGGCGCTGGCAGCCTGCGCAGGTGGATCTCATCCTTATCCATCTCCGAGCAGATCCCCTCAGCCCAGTCGCTACTTGGTATCAAACTGAACTTGCCAGGGTCCCTCCTCTTCCCCCTTTCTCCCCCCCCCCCCCCCCCCCCCCCGTTTTCGGGGAGGGCCCCGCGCATCCAACTAGCAGCACCGCTCAGCTCCCCGGCCACACTTTAAATAAGGGCGCGGGGAGCGCGTCCCTCCGCGGTAGCCGCCTCCCATACACACCGAGCCGGTCCCCCCCCGCGCACCCTGCGCGCAGCTCCGCGCCTACCTGCGGCGGCAGCTCGCTGCCCTGACCTTGGGGCTGCGCCGGAGCGACGGCGGCAGCTGCCGGGCGGGGACAGCGCGCCCGGGAAAGGTCAGCACGCTCTGTGCGCCGGCGGACACACCGGGGGCACCCCGGCGGGGCAGAACCCTCTGGGACCCCGGCGCGGCAGCGGTTTAATCGCTTCCACGCTGCGCTTCCTACCGGCGATGGTTGTTCTAAGAGTTCCCGCGCCTCACAGCTTAACAAAAAGGGTTCAAAAAGAACCATCCCGTGCCAATGCGCTTCCGGAGCGGAGCTACTGCCGGGGTCACACGCCCACACCCCCCCAGCCGGGGTACAGCTGGACCGTTCCCGGCTCCCCGCTGCCCGTGCTTCTTCCCGCTGCCCGTGCTTCCCGCTTCTCCAGCCGCGCCGACCGGACAGGCAGGGCCCCATTGCGAAGGGAGGCTCTGCTCTGCCTGCCACGGTCGGACCCAAGAGGGATGCGCCGACCATCGCCAGCAGACTCGGGACCTACCAGGATAACACCAGGTTACCTTGTGACCACTGGCTTTTTCGAAATCACAGAGTCACAGGCTGGTTTGTGTTGGAAGTGACCCTAAAGCTCATCCAGCTCCAGCCCCTTGCCACGGGCAGGGACACCTTCCACTAGGCCAGGTTGCTCCAAGCCCCATCCAACCTGGCCTTGAACACTGCCAGGGATGGGGCAGCCACAGCTTCTGTGGGCAGCCTGTGCCAGCGCCTCAGCACCCTCACAGGGAAGATTTCTGCCTAAGAGCTCATTTCAGTCTCCTCTGTCAGGTTAAAGCCATTCCCCCTTGTCCTGTCCCTACAGGCCCTTGGCCAAAGCCCCTCTTCAGCTTTCTTGTAGCCCCTTTAGGCAATGGCAGGTGCTCTAAGGCCTCCCTGGAGCCTTTTCCAGGTAAACAAGCCCAGCTCTCTCAGCCTGTCTCCAGATCAGAGCTGCTTCAGCCCTTGCAGCATATCTGTGGCATCCTCTGGACAAATGTGAGGTGTGAAATAGTTGCCACTCCCTTTTTGCACCTCCAGCTGGATGGCTACTGTATTTCCAGTAATTTTGAACAGGTTTCCAGGCTTATCCACCTCCACAGAGGTGCCCACACAGATTCTCTGGTATTCTCAAACCTGCTGCTCAATCCCCTGCCGCGCTGTAGAAGCCCACTCAGGCAAAACCAAAGCAGCACCATTCTCTGATTGCTTTCTCTTTGTTTTGTTTTGTTTTGTGTTGTGTTTTTTTTTATCTTAGACAAGCGCTTAACCCTCAAAACTGCAAGGACAGAAGTGCACAAGGGACCTGCCAGAAGGGAACAGGCTCAGCAGTATTCCCAACATCTGGCAGGCACTCCTGATTGGGGTGAGCTCCTGGCACTCCTGTCCCCAGCACCCATAGAAGAGACACTGCTGAGTAGCATCTAATCCTACTCTCAACTCTCCTTTGTCACCAAAAAACAGAGCAGGTTATGGCTTAGAGAGCTCTGTGGGACTGTAGTTTAAAATCAGAAAAGCATCTTTGTCTGGGTGGTTGGAGGTTCGACACCAGGGACAGAAAACACGTAAAGTTATATTTCTATATAGTTATGCATATGGACTCTTCCTTCATGGAATATAATCCCTAGATGTTTTGAAGCTGAGTTAGGATGCTTTGAGGCTATGTTTTGTATCTTTTTAGTCTTTTTTTTTTTGAGACGGTGTTTCAACTTGCATTTATTTAGTGTATTCTTTACTGAAAACAGGCAAGTAGCTTGCGTTGAACTGAAGCCTCACTTCTGCAAGGCACTTGCAGAAAGAGCCTGCTTTTTTTCTTTCCCTTAAAATTAACATTTTGGATGGAGATTTACAACAGAACCAAATGTGACCATAAGACCAACATAGATATTTGTTTTATGTCTGGAAATAGCCCTGGATTCCAATGTCCTATCTCATCACGGCTGCAAGCTGACCAGCTAACCAAGGACATCATTTTGTAGTATAGCAATAAAGCCAACATTACTGGCTCATTCCAGATGTCTACACATTAATGAGCAATCAGGCCACAAAGATGCTGCAAGGGCTGGAGCACCTCTGTTCTGGATCTGGAGGGATCTTCAAGGTTCCTTCCAAACCAAACCAGTCTGTGATTCTATGATTTATTTGTAGTGTCCTGAAAATTGAAATACATTAATTTTCTAGTATTATTTTAGGAGGTCTGGAGCTGCCATGGGCAATGGAAAAAAATCTTGGTGTGATGTGGTACCTGTGCTTCACCTGGGAATACTGAGAGGCAGGACAAGGTTCCTTCCCATTCCCTTGTAAGAGCTCTAGCAGATCCCTTAGCTGTTTTGGAGAAGCCCCTTGTTGGAAACTGCTGTCAAGAGCACGGGAAAATCCTGCATCTGGAGAGTTTGCCTGGCCTCCAACACCCACACTACTTCATTTTCCTGTCAATATTTCCTGGGCTCTTACCCGTGAGTGTGTACCGACTTTGTAGTTAGAGTAACAAAGACTGGACCACTCTTGCACCTGAAGTGACAGGACTGAGCAGTGGAACTGCTCTGACTCTAAGAGCAGAGGAAACACCATTTGTCTTTTCAAGAGCCCCATGAGCTAAAATAGGCTGTTGGTCTGATAGGAAGCAGAGCCTCCAGCTATGGCTTTCTTCCTTAGCATGAGATAAACCCTGTGTGCCATCTCAACACCTCCTTGGGAGAAGACTGGTAAAGGGAGGGAGGAGCTACTGTCTATATAATAAAACCGCTTTCTTAACAATGAGGAAGGAGACAGTGTTGCTTGGCATCCACATCTATAATAAGTGCACTCACTGGAAATATTTACACTCTGTTCCTGCACAATGTACCGTGTACCTTTGTAACAACAATAACGATGCAGTTCTTGGCTCCTGGAATTTGGAGCTGAGCAAAGGAAGGCTCTGGGTCTTGCAGTACTCATAATCTGGGGAAATGCCAGGTTTTAAGGCCCACCATCCCAGATGGCAGAGCAAGCCCACCAGCCACCTCTGTGCCTTGCACTTGCCTCTGAACTATTTTTATGAAGTCTTTTCCCCTTTTGAGGGGCAGGCAGTGAAGGCAGGAATACACTTCATCTCTCTTTTCAGCTGGGGCATCCGGAGATAAGAGCTCATATCCCTGGCAGCCACGCGAAACAGCATGAACACAATCACATGATGGTGAAACAAACCCTGGCCGTGGCTGGGACAGCCTTCAGCATGGCATGCAGCTCTGTCATTGGTGCACACAACAAATAAAAATTGAAGGGATATGTTGTATATGAGATAGAGAACCAGGTTCCAGAGAGCCCTAAAATCACAGGCAATGAGGGAAAGACTAACAGGGAATAATAAGTCACAATATCGAAACTGAAGCATACTTAGAGAAAGTAGCAAGTGGCAAGATTAAAATGAACAGAAAGGTTTGTGGGTTTTTTTTGCCATGTAATATACCAAAACCGTAATATTGTGATGTAAATTGTATTACAGCACTAAAACCTCTGGCTGTTGCTACATTTTCGTGTGATACAAGCCAAGTCAGAAGCACAGCTTTTTTTAAAGAGTACTGAGAAACATTTGTGAAAAATAGCTCCATGGTGTCTACCATACAAAGTAGCCTGGCTATAATTTTCAGCTTAGTAAGCTCTTAAGCCTCTGATTGTTGGAAAGGCATTTGCAGGGAAAGACGTTCTGTTTCTTATCTCCTTCCTTTCTGCTTACCACTGACAGGCCCTGGGTCCTGGGCTAGATGGCAAGTCTTTGGGCTCTGTAACACTGCACTGATGCAGAGCTCATTTACTTAAAGCACATAATATTTTGTTTGTTTCGAATTTATTTAGGTCAAGCGTAGATATATGGGAATTATTAAGCAGATACTGCTAAAAACATTCTTTCATCAATGCCCCAATCTTGCAAGTGCTACTGTGCATATTTATATGAAATATTACTTCTATGAACAGTCTTGGCTTTCTTGAGTGTGTGATTTAACATTCTGCCAAAGTGGAGTGAGAAAACCATTACTGTTTGTAAATAGTAATGCCTAGTATGGCAAAGAGATGCTTAACCTGAAGGCAGTTTAAGGACTGAATCAAGCAATGTCTACAGTAAAAAACATCTGCTACTTTACAGGTCTTTGCCTGTGCCATGGCAAAACCAGGTTGGGGATCACCACACATTTTCTAAATTCAGAATAAATATTCAGGATGACTGATTTTCATGAGTTTAGCCAATATAACAGGAGTGAAAAATGATGTTCTGCATAGCAAAATTTACAAGACAGAGCCCTCCCTGCTTCTGCGTATGTGAAGACTATTTCCTTATGAAATGCTTTCACCAGTTACCATTATGGATGCAGGCAGGGTTTTCCTATTAATGATGCTGAAGTTTCCAAGTGTCATTTGACAGAAGTTAGAGGAACCTCCCACTTTCTCCCCCTGCAATTTACAGTTGGAAGTGACACAGCCCGAAAGCACAGCCAGGACAGGAAGAGAGAAGGTTTGACTCAGACCATGTGAGTCATGGTTGGTTTCCAATTCTCTCCTTGCTGTTCCTGCAAGGAAACTCTTACAGCCATGGCAAGCTGACTGGAGGGGTGGGAAGCAAAACCGAGCTCACTCCAGCTTCTTTTAACCCTCTGTCTTTGGATCCATTCCCTCCTCATCCCACAGCAGATTAGCTGGACCCAAGCTACTGCTGATCTGAGTTTCCCTGATTTGTTTCTATGAGGTGGCCATCATCAGTTTCAAGCTTCTGAAGGAAGTTGGTGCTATACTCAAGAATATCCTTGCATGGAAAACAAGCAGGAGGGATTAGAGGTGTGCA